TTAATAGCTAGGAAGAATTTGAAAAAAAAAATATTTGAGTAGTAAGACTTCTAAAACTAGTTTTCCGGCATTCATTTAAAACTTTTTGGAAATTTTTTTATTTGATTGATGAGATGTTCTACTATAATCTTTTTAAAATAAAAACAAAAGAAAAATGCTTCGTGAGTCTTCTGTAAAATGAATATATCTGGACGAAGCAAACTCATAGAGAGAAGCGTAACATCTTATTTTGCTTAGATTTATTCGCTTTGTCCAATAAAAATATTTTTACAAAATATAAAATGAATACCATAAAATTGTGTTTTTTTTTTTTTGGAAAGATCCTTGTTTTCCAAATATCTTCATCCAAACAGTTTCACTGAAGTTTTTAGGTCCACTAATTCTGATAGAATATCCTTTTAGTTACTCAAATACTTTTTTTTTCATATTCTTCCTAATTATTACTATCGAGAAAGCTCAAAAATATAACTGCTATACACTTTTGTCAGTCACCATAGAGCTACCTAATCTAATTTTCTTTGTATGCTCGGTATTGACTGTAACATTCTGCATTGACTGAAGCTCGCTCTACAGGTCGTGATATTTCGTATAAAGTGCCGTTCTCTTTGTCACCTGGATCTCTTTTTATATTCAACATGGCCTTTCTTTTTGAACATCATTCGTGAACTGACATTTGCTTCTCAATTTGTTATATTATTATTGTTTTCTTAGTTATTTTCTTGCTAGATAAAAGTCATAGACACAAGTACACAGTGCATTATATATACATAGAAAACAATAAAAGTCGTTTGAAAAATTCTAGGGGTAAAGATTCTTCTTAATTTTAAGACAAAACTTTTGTTTTCAAACTTATTATTGTAACATTGAATTATGTTTAATTTAATGCTGTAATAATTATTACTACTATGTAGTGCATCTGAAACTAGGAAAATGGTTGTCGTATCCTTAAATGTTGTATACTCTCAAAAGTTTACTGCTTGGTTTTAAAAAAGTTCAGTTAACTGATTGATAATAAAGCATGTGTGAAAATTTTAATTTATACTTTTCAATTGATACACATGAGCTATCATGGTAATAGAGGTAAGACTCAGGGTTCATTTTCGGTCTTGGTATGCATAGATGAACAAATCTTAGAATCTTCAAAATGGTGTTTGCTGTCTTTATATACAACATGAGGAATCAAGGGTGGACACATAAACTATTAATAGAAGAACGTATTAGATAAGTCATCGAAAAGTAACTTGACACTATTGGCCAACTTACCAGGGAACATTCCTAACTGTTAATCGTCGATCAAAGTGATATTTTGCCTATAAGTAGGACTCCGTGAGACTAGGAAAAGCCTTAAAGAATTCTTTCCCATATGCCTTCCTTCTGGAGTTATGATCATTTTACGAGCTTTCCAGCTTATGGCAAGCTATTCATAAAAAAGTGAAAAAGAAGGAATCTTTACCTGATGTTTTTCTATATGTAGGTCTTATGATCTTTAGGACATCTTGAAACTTTCAGTCAAAACGGATGGTTCCTTCTCGAGATATTGAATACTAAAGAAACGTCGTTTTTATGACCTTTTATGTGATGTGTGATCGTGTTTTTGAACATTTAATATCTCGAGAAGGAACCATCCGTTTTGACTGAAACTTTCAAGATGTCCTAAAGATCATAAGACCTACTTATTGAAAAACTTCAGGTGAATATTCCTTCTTTTTCACATTTTTATGAATAGTTTGTCATACGCTGGAAAGTTCGTAAAATGATCATAACTCCAGAAGGAAGGCATATGGGAACGAATTCTTTAAGGCTTTTTCTAATCTCACTCAGTCCTACTTATGGGCAAAATATCACTTCAATCGACGATTAACAGTTGAGAATGTTCCCTCGTTTGACAGAACAAAGATATAACAAATAATATGTTGCTTATTATCGTTGTTAACATAGTACTTATTTTGATATAATATCAACATAAAATTATTTTTAGCTTTAAAGACCATATAACTAAAATTGACTATACAATCCGTTAGTGATATCATCAACAAAATAATTTTTTTTCGAATAAAAAGCCTGGATAAAAACGGGTATGCACAACAATAGAAAAAAAGTTACATGAAATAATTACAGGCAATCTCGGATGTACAATAATTTTCTGATTGATTTAAGACGAATAATTGAATTAACAAATCTATTGTTGATGACCATGAAATCATTCTATTTTATTGATTATATTACCCTCGTAATTGTTTTAAGTAGTATGTTCTATGGCTCACAGCGTAGTTTAATAGACTTCATCATGACAATCACAAATAATTTCCTACTTGAAAGTTTTATGTAGAATTATAATAAATTGCACAAAAAGATGCTTAGACATAAAAATGAAAGGTTCAAAATTTTCCAGAAATTAATACAAAAAGAAAACCAGAATCTTATAATACTATTATCTCCAGAATAAAAGAAGATCTCTTGAAAAAAAATACTATATTAACAAAACTATTACACATAGATAGATTACAATGATCCAATCTACAATTTCAATATCTATTACATAAGAAAAAATGCGATGATATCATTCTTAGATAGTCATAACACTATAGACGAATTACAAAGAGAAATGGTGTTTTTGTTTGTCTACAACAAGGAAAAACATTTCGTGAACTAGCCACTTAAATTTTTTAACTAAACATCTGTGCTCTTGCTTTACACAAATACAAAACCTTTTTGTAGATCTCTTCACTATGAAAACATTATAATCAATTATCATGTTTGAAACTGAAGGCTTAAAGATAAGCCAGTCAATCCTAAACCACATTATTTCTGATATTAATTGCTTTTATAGTAGTTACATTTAAGAATGTAAATTTTCTTTGTTATATATCTTTGACAAAGATTGATTTGAATACATTTCATATGTGTTCTTCTTTTTATAGCAAAATATAAACGCAACAACTATGAAGTAAAAAATTTAAATTTAGACAAAAAAAAAACAGAAAATATGTTTTATATATTCCTAGGATAAGTAGGCACGATCAAGTTTTTTTTTAGTCCTAGTCCTAACAATTTCGTTTCCAATAATCAAAGTAAATTTTATCTGGTCTAGATCTAGAGAAATTTTTTCAAAATTGATTGCTACTAAATAAAATCATGTTTCAAAACTCGTTGTTGGATGTATTCAAACAATGATATGTCATGTCTTTTTTTTTAATCATCTCTCGTGAATGTAGTTTTGATCGCTAGAATTTATAAAATAATTTGCTCGAAATCAAACGACATTTATTACTTATATCAATCACAAAATCATCGAAATAAAAGTCTTTGATTATATTCAGTAAAGCATTATAATACATATTCTAATTATTTCATTAATATAATTATCACGATTGCAGATGTTTAAAAAATTAATCGTAGAAACTTTTATATGTCACGAAATCTTCTTTTTTCTTAAGAGAAAAAGTCAATAATGCCTTTATGAGAAAACCTTTCTCAAATAATACAGAAATAAATGCTTAAAAAAATATGAGTCGACCAAGATAAAACTCATATCAATGTGTTTAATTTTTCATATGAACTTTTATCTCTAATGAAAAAAAAAACATAATTACCAATAATAAAAAATATTTAAGGTGAAAATGTAAATGACATTTTGTCCTTTAATAGATAATGACAGTTAGAAAAATAATATAATTCCATAACTGCATGACCTTAGCATTTGCCATTAAAATATAAACATATAAAAAAAGAAGAGATAAATAAATGTTTGGTAAAAGGTGCTTTTGTCTTAAATCTAGATTATATGCTAAAATAATTTCCCGTGTAATATTTGAAGCTTCATACCTCATCAAGTATAGTTATTCGGCAATAGTGGAATTTAGTCAACACTTTGTTCTCATTTTAATAACTAAACATATTCAAATGGCATATAAAATAAAATCATCAGGTAATGCAATTTACAAATAATGTTCAAATATAAATTTTAAGTTTCGTATCTTCAATAGAGTAGGTAAACAGATCTGACAAGACGAAATTTATTTCTTATACACAACAAAATATTTTAAGCAGAACAATTGAGTACATGCCGATTAGATATTCTGCACTTGAACCAATAAATACTCGTATAGAAGAAATTTCGAGAGCCATAAAAGAAATATTTTTCTATTTCAATTTCTCGAAATGTTTTACCATACATGCACAGAAATCAGTTTATTTTCGAGATCTCTCTTGTTTAATAAAAATTGATAATCGTAAAGTAAAGGCATAATGGATTATCTTCATTTTGATAAATACAGGTTTTTTTTATTCATAATAACAAAGATGATGCGTTGTTGTCTATTCATCAATGCTCAGGCATTGGTAATAGTTTCACTACTGCACAACTTGTAAAACTTGATAAATTATGCGTTTTTCTTTTGTGAAACACGATCTAAAAGACCTGTTGAGGTATACACGTGGAAATTTCGACTTCTCCTCCTTCCCATAGTCGTGACTGATATCCTTAAAACGGTCTCTCCTTCATCGTAGACCATAATAGACGCTTTGGTAACGTTTCCTTAGCTTGAATTATAGACCGTATATCTATAATACCTGCTTAAAATATTTGACCTACTTGTTTATTGCATTTCTGGACGATTAAACAAAACGATGATGAAGAAATGTGTCCCAAAATATATAGAATAAAACAATTTCGATGTGATTAGCAAGAGCAGCTATATCGTGTTTGATATTTTAATCATCTAGGGATTGCACAAGTAGCTTACCTTTATTCTATTTCATCTACTTGAATGTATAGATCTTGAGTGTGACTAAGTGGAAGAGTAGCTCTGTCGTTACCCTCCATAATGATGTTTATTGAGCTACTTTATCATTCAAACTAGATCTATATCGTTGCTAACATAATTACCTTTGAACAGGAGGTCTACGGAAAAGAGAAGTGACGCGTAGCCATAATGATTGTTGTAGTAATGAAGTTCCATTTAATGACCTTAGTCATAATATGATGATACATTGTTCTTATGTTTTCAGAAATTCTATTATTGAATGTTGTTCTTCTTTTGGTGATTGGGAATCTCGTTAATGGTGGTCGACGTGACTGGACAATAGAAAAGAGTTCTTCATTTTGGTATGAACAAGCTCGATTATCAATTGAAGAAGGATTAAAACGTCGTGAGAATACGGGAATAGCTAAAAATGTAATTCTATTTTTGGGTGATGGTATGGGTGTATCAACGGTTACTGGAGGTAGAATTCGAAAAGGACAAACTAATGGTCAGTTAGGCGAAGATTTTCTTACTGAAATGGAACAATTTACTCATTTGGGTTTGGCAAAAACGTACGTTTAAGACAAAAACATTTTATTTTTAGCTATAAAAAAAGATTATTTAGATATAATATTGATCATCAAACACCAGATTCAGCAGCAACAGCAACAGCTTTTTTATGTGGTGTTAAAGCACAATTAGGTACAGTAGGAGTTGACGGACGTGCAAAACGATCGAATTGTTCAAGTTCCATTGGTACAAATGTGACCAGTATTCTCGATTGGGCTCAAAAAGCTGGTAAAATATTTTAATAGAAAATAAAAAAATTTAATTAATTGTTTGTTTGATTGTCGATTTAGGCAAAAAAGTTGGTATCGTATCAACGGCTCGTATAACTCATGCAACACCAGCTGCTGCTTATGCTCATGTGCCTGAACGTGACTGGGAAAGTTATAATACAAAAATATTTGGTATTCGTCAAAGTCAAGAAGGTTGCCTTGATATTGCTCATCAGCTTGTATTACGTTCACCACCAATCGATCTTTTATTCGGCGGTGGTCGTCGACACTTTTATCCGAATACAAAGTCTGATATTGAAAACTCAACATTAAATGGTTCTCGTACTGATAATCGATCCCTTATTGATGAATTTTGGCGTGGACGTTTTATTTGGAACAAAACTGAAATGAATAAAATTATTTTAGGTACACAAACACCATTAATGGGATTATTCGAATATGATCATATGTATTATGAAACTGATAGAAAAGCAACTAGAAATGATAAACCAAGTTTATCACAAATGACCAAATTTGCAATAGAACATTTTTTAAATATGAAACAAAATGGTTTTTTTCTTTTAATTGAAGGTGGAAGAATTGATCATGGACACCATGAGACAAAAGCGCGATATGCACTTGATGAGTTTGTTGAATTCGATAATACTATTGGACAAACTAAAGAAATCTTAAAAGAAAAAGGTCTCCTGAATGATACATTAATGATTGTTACTGCTGATCATTCACATGTATTTACAATAGGTGCATATTCTTCACGTGGTTCAAATATTTTAGGTTTTGGATCATTAGAATCTCGTAATGTCAGTGATATTGATAAATTGCCTGTTAATATTATTGCATATGGAAATGGACCGAATTTTCCTTCACCTCGAAATGCAACTTACTTATCTTCACTTGATTTAAATTCAACTAATTATTTATCACCAACAGCTCTACCACTAAAGGATGAAACCCATGGAGCTGAAGATGTACCTATATATGCTCATGGACCATGGAGTCATTTATTTATTGGAACAATGGAACAACATACAATTGCACATAAAATGGCTTATGCAGCATGTTGGGGTCCTTATACAGATAGAAACGGATGTCAAATCTTGACTAAATCAACAACAACATCATCAACAACAACATCATCAACCACAATTGTTCCTAAATCCAATGGTTTTAATTCGTTTAGTCAGTTTCAATTTTTTACAATCATTATCGTTTCCCTACTTCTTTTTGTCTTTATATAGACAAATTTTTTTTTCATTAATAATTATTGAAATTTGCACGTGAATGTTTTCTTTAATTTTCTTAGTGGAATAAAATAAGGTAAACAGTTTTGCAAGAATAATACATTGATATTTTAAATTTCTTTTATCACCGAATGGGCGCATCGATTGACATTTAGTAGAAATACCATCTATTCGATTATATATTTTCGATTCATCAAGTGGAATTTTATGTACTTATCATTGTAGTATATCTTTTCTAATTGTCTTTACATAAAATATCAATCGAAATGGTTTTGAAGATCAATAACAAATGTCAAAAAAACGATCAATATTATTCTATGATGAAGACGAAGTTCAAAATCATACTTCGATAGTATATGATACAAACGAACAAAAATACACTAAATTAGTACTAAAGATTATGATATATTTTCATACGGTAAGTAATAAATCAAAAAATAATTATGTAAAAAAGAAAACAATCATACTTTTCTGTATACTTAATAAGTAAATCTAGAACTATTTAGATAATATGATTATAATATAATACTTCATTTTATATCTGTATTTATGAATATGATACAGTTTGAAAACACAAGAAAACAAGTTTGAATCAATATACATGGAATTATTCTTATAGAAATGTTCATCTCAATTTGTTGCACATTGGCAGGAATACGAAGTCGATCTTGCATGATTCGATCAAGACTTATCAAATAATCAATAACATGATGAAACAAAAAAGAAATACAGAATATCTCTACAGTTGATCTCAGAAATTTCTCAATATCGAATCATTTCCAGGAAATATCAATAGATATTCGATTTTACTGGCATTAATAATCATTGAACGACTAATTAAGGATATTAAAATAGTTTGAAATAATGTAGTATTGGAAACAGTGATTATAAAAATATAATTTTCAATTTTTATACTTCCTTGTGGCTTCACCACTTATCTATCTAACCATGCTCATTCAATTTAGATTATAATATGTATCTCGTCATTTGATAAGAATATTCCATCATATAGAGAAAAAAGTATTTCGAAGGATAATTTAATTGAGTGGAGTAATGCAAAAAAATCTATTCCAATCAAATCGATATTGAAAAAAATTGACGATTTCCAGTTTGTGTTGTTAAAAATCTGTGTAGAACAATGTTGAACCATTGAAATGTGTTTTAGATAGGAAAAGATTTAGAACAATGACAATCATCATCAACGATTTTGATTCGATTAAAATCTGCATTAATACGATAGGATAGTTATTTTCAAGAGTACAAATTAGTTTATCGATGCTATTAAGAACGTGGATATGTTGATCAGTAATATTGAGCAAAATCATTGATATAATTCACAACAATAGATTGTCTTTGTTCATCTTCTACTTGTTTCCGGTTTTGATAATCTTCTCATCGAACGAAATAATGATTTTTAAGTGTCGTCACAACTGGGGAACTATCGACGGTCAATAATAGAACTAAACATATCAAAACTTTCATCTATACAAGCTGCGTCAATTTCTTTTTATTTTTCTCATTTGTGTAGAACATATAACAAGAAGAAACCATTGACGATGATAATCATATTGAAACATTGAATATTACTGATCGGGATGGATTAGCACGATTAAGAAACATAAAAAAATGAAACAAAGAATGTCATCCTTGATTTATCATAGTCTTATTCTTGTTGCTAAAAATATTTCTTTAACATTTTTTTACAACAAAAATTAATGCGCAAAAAGAATAATCACTCATAAGCTCGTTTTCAGAGAGATGCATCTATTCAAGATTATTATTATAATAAGCTTATGTAAGTATTTTAATCGAGTTTTGCAAAATCAAACTACAAATATAAATTGTTTCCGTCCAACAACATGCGCCAATATTTTGTACACATTTCACAATATTACAATCATCTAAAACATCAGCGAAACCGTCTAAGTCTACTAATGATTTATTTCTTGATGCAGTTTCCTCTTTTTTTCATATTGCATATAAGTTCCGGATTACCAAAATTAAATACAACTGAAACGATAATCAATTAGAGTTGTATCCAACATAATTTGACAAAATTAGAAACTATGTTAAACAAATATAACTGAATTGGACAGTTGCATAGTTCCTGTTGTCAAGTTAGTTGACTGTCTTGTCCAGTAGACCATTATCTTTTTTTTCTCTCAAAATTGAATATGTCCAGCCGGCAACTAATCGAATTACCTTAACACATATGTTCTTGTTCATTCTCTCTTCTTGTTATTCTTTCACCAATATACACAAAATATATAGTAGAGCAATCTCAATTATAATAGTTTTTATATGCTTTCGCTCATATTCTTTCGTATGTATTGCTATGATCCATTTATTGAGATAACATAACATATATTTTTCCTTAACTCAACATCTGTTTTTAGTACCACCATTATTTTCATATCGATAAATTATGTTCAACTTTAGATAAGGCCGATTGAAATCTACTCTCAACATATAAAAAAGACGATTAATCGTCACCATTTGCATACATACACAGGCGATAAATATATCTATATATAGATTGGTAACCTATTTCTTTTCCTTCTCAATCTTTTTCTCGTGTCTTATTCATGAGTGAATGAATTTCCGGCTATAGACTTTATATTTCATTGATGGCATCGTCATTGCTCAATTGAAAAAAAAAAAAGAAAAAAAGAAGGGTCATTCTCAATATAGTGTGTTGTCTCCTCAAGGGTAAGTTATAATTATTTATGTCTCATGCTGATGTCTTACAGTTTGACCAAGATAAAAATAGAAAAAAAAAGGCTAAAGAAGATAATTCTATCGAATGTACTCAGACGACATTGGACACTTGTTGAAAAATGATGACGATGATGATGATAATTTCCGTCCGAATTGATGTGTATATATATATATATGAACATATATAAGAGAGTCAAGTATAGAGGATCACGCACAAGTACTTGTAGATTCTATCTCAATGTTCCCTCCCTTTTTCTTTCTTGATTTTCTGTTTGAACAGAGAGACAGAGAAAAAAAAAAGAATCTAATTACAAAGTGATCATCATTGTTTAGTCTGAAAACAGAACGAGAATTGATCGAACTCAAATTCAATTTTCGCCTTTGCATTCTCTTACGACATATTCAGGAAAAAGAGAAAATTATAATCTCTCTGTCGCTCTCTCTCTCTTTTTCCATTCTTGCTAAAAACAGATTGAGAACACATAAAGATGTCTCTTTTTCTCTCAAGAGTCTACTTTTATATTGATTGAGACACAAGTGATGCTTTGATGATGATATTAGTTTATATATGTATATAAATATTACATATGTATATAAACAAAACGAGAGAAAAAGAAAGTGAGAATCGTTATTTGAATAAATGAAGATACTTATATTATTGATATAGACATATTCTCTTATGTTAAGTGCATATTGATCTATTCATTTATATAAAACGCAATAAAAGAATTCGTTGAAGAGAAAAAGAGAACATAATAAAACATATGAGGTAAGTTCAACTATATTTTTTTGAAATGATTTATTTCCAGTATTCGTTTAGCAGGTGTACTAGAGTTCATATCTAAAATCGATAAAGTTTATGTTTCTTACTATCAACAAGTGTTCCACATTCCGACATAATATCATATAAGAAAGTAGAGATACTTTATATGATTGATGATAATATCAATTTTGAATGTTACTATATGAAAAACAAAAATAAAATATTTGATAAACGAATAGTTTTATTTTGTAATATATTTTGTTTTTTATTTTTAAGATAAAAAGAATAAGATGATAAAATATTTGTTATTAATATTAATAATAATAATAATAATAAATATAAATAAAATAAAATCATTTGAAGAAATTTCAATTGAAATCTCAATAAAAGAAGAAGAAGAAAATGGTACAATAATTGTAGATTTAAGATCATATATAAAATCTGAATATATATTAAATAATTCAAATGGTTATATAATAAAATTTGTTCGTCCATGTTTAAATTTTTATATAGATAAAGAAAATTTATTTAAAATTCGTTCATTTAAAATTGATCGTGAAAAACTTTGTCCATATGATAAATATTGTTATTTAAATTGTGATTTATATATAGAAAAAGAAGAAATAAAATTAATTAAATTAAAAATAAATATTGAAGATATAAATGATCATAAACCAAAATTTAAAAAAAAAAATTATTTATATGAATTTGATGAAAATATATTAATAGGTTATCGTTTACAATTAGAACAAGCTGAAGATAAAGATTTAAGTGAAAAAAATTCAATAAAAAATTATTATTTAAATTTATTTAATATAACATATTTTCCATTTAAACTTAATTATGATAAAAAAAATCATTTACTTGAATTAATTTTAATTAAAAATTTAGAAAAAAATAAAAAATATCTTTTTGAACTTATTGTTAATGATGGAGAAAATGAAGAAGATAAATGTTTAATTGAAATAAATATTTTACAAAATCAACAATATAATAATAATTTACCACCAATATTTGATTTTAATTTATATAAATTTAATATATTTAATTTAAATAAAACATTTATAGGAAAAGTTCATGCAAAAAATGATTTTTATATTAATTTAAATAATAATAATAAACAAATATATTATCGTATTATTCCATTAATTGAAAATTCAAATTTATTTCAAATAAATGAAACAACTGGTGAAATTTATTTAAATGATAAACAACAAATTAATTTATTTGATAAATTTTATGAAATATTTATTGAAGCATTTTATTTAAATTATCTTTCTTCATTAACAACAGTTCAAATTTATTTTAATTTAACTTCTCAATTTAATAATAATAATAATAATAATCATTATCATAATGATGATAAACAAGAAAATTTTATTCAAATTTTAATACCAAAATTATTTCAAAAAATTGATAATAAAATATTTATTAAAGAAAATATATCTGTACCAATAACAATTCTTCAATTATTTATATCATCATCATCATCATCATCATCATTTTATTCATTAGATATGATAACATCTATTAATATTGATAAAAATTATTTTTATTTAAAAAAATTAGATCAACAATTATTTGAATTAATTCTTTTAAAAACATTTGATTATGAATTTATTCAAAATATTTATTTAGATTTTATTTTAAATAAACAAAATTTAACAAAAAAATCTATTGAAATTATTATTGAAAATATAAATGATTGTCAACCTTTTTTTAATCAAACAAATTATTTTTTTCATATTCAAGAAAATAATCAAATACCTTTTCTTATTTATACATTTCAAGCTTTTGATTATGATTATTTAAATCAATTTATTTATCAAATTCAAACTTCAGGTTTGATTTATTTATTTATTTATTTTATTTTTTTTAACAAATATATTTAAGTCTAATATTATTTAAATGATAAATAACTTATAAAATAGTCAAGCCTATTCATTATCATTATTATTATAGTTTTTAATGAACTATAAACAATCTGCATACAAAAAAAAAGACATTAATAATGATTCGAAATTTTTTAAAGTAATCTCATAGTTATAAGAACGATAGAATATTCAAATATATTTTTGAAAACAATGAAATATATCATTTTTTAGAATTTAATGAAAAACTTTGTTTTTATATTTTAACTAAAAGAATTATATTCTTTTCTTTTCTTTTCTTTTGCAATGTTAATAAATATGATTTTTAAGAATAAAGACAAAACTTTCTAATCTTCTCTTTCAAAATAGTACAGAAGAATCAAACTTTTGATTAATCTTGTTCAAAAATTGAATCTTTAAATATATTTGTTAAGTGATTATGACTTTTGAAATATCCCCTATTATACATTTTTTATTTCAAAAAGAAAGAATTATATGATGAAATATCAGTTTATTTACTAAACAATTGTTTCACTACACATTTATTAGATATTTAGATCTATTCTATGTTACAACTCGAAATATTTCTATCTCTTATATAATCATAGATATACATTTAAACATAAAATTCATCGAAATATTTTTGTTATTTTTGAATTTTTTTGTAATAACATTCACAAAAAACATAATTAGTATTTTTTATTTAGTTTTCTATATATTAGTTCTACATTGTATTATTTGTTTTTTTTTGAAAGATTAACTTAATATTGATATTTCAAAATGATTAGAATAACAATTGTGATAAATAATATTAAATAATTATTTAATCAATATATTGATCTTAAAGTTAATAATACAAAACTTATTAATATTTAGTTAAATGAGATAGTTTAGAATGTAATTAAGAAAAAATAAAAACATTTGAATAGTGCAAAAAAAAAAGAAAATAGAAAATCTTCAATAATAGTAAAATGTAAACAAATGATGAAAAGATGAATGAGTCGATTGAAACAAGTTATAGATCAAGATGGAAAGTAAATACATACAATATTTACATATGTTTTCTTCTTGTTATATTTAAACAATTTCCACTTTTTGTAAATATTGTTCTATTTATTGGTTTATTTTTTTATTTCACATACTTAACAGAATGACAGAAAGATCTTTAGAAATAATTCAAAAAAAAAAAAATTTTTTCTTTGAATCTTTTTTGTTACTTGTATATCTATCATTGTAAGAGAAGTAGAAAATTCAAGTCCTAATTATGAGTAGATCTAAATATCTAGAATATATATATCAACTTATTCTACTAAAAAAAAAACCATATAAGAAAAGAATGTCATTTGAAATATATCAAATATTTATTAGATATTTTTCATGAATATTAGAAAATATTTTAAATTTACTAATTTTTGTTATGATAAAAATTTATAAATAAATTTTATTTATTTATACTATATAAAGAAAATATTCTATAAGAAAAATAATTTTCGATTAATATTTATTTATTTTTTTTGTCATTAAAATTATTTATTTAAAATTTATATTTAGATGAAAATATATTTTCAATAAATTCTACAAGTGGAGATTTCTGGATATTAAAATCATTTGATCGTGAAATAAAATCAAATTATTCTTTATTTATTTGTGTATTTGATGGAATTTATCAAACATGTTCATCTATATATTTAAATATTCTTGATGAAAATGATAATATTTGTAAATTTAATTCATCATCAATAACATTAACAATTAATGAAAATCTTCCATTAAATACAAATTTAATACAAATTCAAGCATATGATCCTGATTATAAACAAAATGGAACACTACAATATAAATTATCACCTAAAACATCTTATTTAAATATTAATTTAACAACAGGTTTAATTCAAACAACAATAAATTCATTTGATTATGAATTAATTCAAACATATTCATCATTAATTATAGCTTGTGATAATATTAATTCATTACCATCATTATGTTGTTATTTAAAATTATATATAAATATAATTGATATTAATGATAATTTACCTTATTTAATTTATCCATCATCAATAAATAATATATTTATTATTAATTATACAAATAAAACAATGCCTCGTTTAAAAGCATTTGATAATGATATTGATCTTAAAAATCGTTTTATATCTTATTCTATTATTGGTGGTACACTTAATTCATCAATAAATATTGATTATCTTTCTGGACAATTATATCTTTTATCAACATCAATACTTCCACTTTATGGTACACTTATTATATCACTTTCTTCTCAAATAAATATTCAATTAACAATACTTATTCATGATAATCAAACTGATCCACAAAAATTTCTTATGTCAATTCAACAATATTCATATTCATCACAATTATTTTATTTTATTTCTTTTATTTCAATTATTATTATCATTTTTTTTCTTATTATTATTTTTCTTACTTTTTACTTTTTTAAACAAAAACAAAAACAAAAACATGATGATGATCCATTAATGAATACACCATCAACAACAACACTTTCTACTCGATCAATATTAACAACAACAATAAATAATAAAAAAATTTATGATACTTATTATTCATTTGGAGATAGTGTTACTCCTGATATTATTCATGTTTAAAAAAAATTCTTTTTTTTTTTTCTTTTGTTTTTGTTTTTGTGTCTTAAATATAATTTTGATGTTTAATCTGTTTTTTTTTCTTTGATTCTTTATATATATATATATAAATACAGTTCTAAAATTAACTTACAATCACATTTATATGTTTTTTTTTTGTTTTTGAATATGTTATCTTTCTGCATCATTTTAATTCAAACATATCCCTAGAATTATTTTAAAGTTGATCAAAATAATATTCCTATGTATTTTATAACAAATTCAAATAGTCATCATTAACTATACTACACTAATAACTTATATTTCATCGTATTATAATTATTGAATTTGTATAAAATAAAAAATTATTAAAAGTA